TCTTCTCAATAATTCCATATACCAGGCTATCTTTATGATAAGTTTTATAAAATATATTTAAAAATGAAAGAACAGCCGAAACCAGTTTGGCTCAGTGGATAGAGCATTGGTCTGCGAACTGAAAGGTCCCAGGTTTGGTTCTGGTCAAGGGCATGCACCTTGGTTGCGGGCACATCCCTGGTAGGGGGTGTGCAGGAGGCAGCTGGCAGATGTTTCTCTCTCATTGACATTTCTGGCTATCTCTCTCTCCCTTCCTCTCTGTAAAAAGCAATAAAATATCATATATTAAAAATAAATAAATAGAAATGAAAGAACAGTAAAATAAAAGAGCAAAGGAAAAACCTCCAGAAAGCAATCTGGAGGAGGAGGATTTTTATTCTGACCACTCAATAATATGGTTTTGAACGATAATTTTATAGCAGAAAAAAAAACTAAGAGGAAATAACTGTTTGAAATTGCTAAATTCCTCTGCAAATTGTAGCACATCCACACCATAAAGGGTGATGCCACAGTCCTCAGCTATGCTGTCAGGGTTCCGAAAGGGGAGGGAGTGCTTTACTGTTAGTGCGGAAGGCGCTCCGGGTAGGATTCGCCGGAGCCTCCCGCACAGACGCACTCTCAGGCTCCGTCTGCTGACACCTGGCTGCCTCCTGCCTCCCCCTCCTGGTTCTCCAACCTCCGGGATGAGCAAAGCCGGTATCCTGAGAACAGAAATTCCTCTGGTGTTTGGGAAGCTTGCCAGCGAGGGTGCACAAAGGGAAGAGGAGGGTGCACAAAGACAGCACCTCACACGGGAGCGGCAGAGCCTCCCCCGGGGGAGCAACGCAGCCAACGAGACTGAGACGCAATTTGCTCGAGAACAAATCACAACTGTGGACAAGTACAACCTGCTGTCTGCTTACCGTCAAGTGCCATGAAAGACAATCCACCTAAAAAAGTACTGTGCCTTCAAGTGAGCAAACAAATCCGAGAGCAGAGAGAGCAGAGCAGGATGCTGTGTTAATGCGAGCTGGTGAGAGAATGGTGGACGGCAGCGGCCGCTCAGAGCACCTGCACCCTCAGAGGGTGGCGACGCCCTCGCAGGCGGTGGGCCACCTTTGCCGCGTGTATAGTTGGAGATAGTCTCCCTTTGAGTCCCTCCCCAAACATGAGTCCTCACAGAAAAGACAGCAATGAGCTAATGCTTAAGAAGAAAGCACATGCAAACACGTGAGAAAGAACCCACACGCGTGTCAGCATCCAGCGAGGCATCCTTGGGAGTCTATGTGTGTATTCTTTCTTTCTGTGTACACACTGTTGTCAACAGGGTTTTTGTACAAGAGCTGCTCATGTGAGTGGAAAAAATCGTTTGCTTCTAGAATCACTTCTGTAACTGTAAATATAATTAATATTCAGTGTGTCATTTACATTTTCTATGTATTTTCCTGGGGGAAAATAAAAAAGCTTGCCTTTTCCTCCCACAGAAATATATTAGTGATTTTCTAAAATGCCTTATAGCTTAAATTTAGATTGATCCGTACTGTAATTGGTAATGGATTAATTACCAATACCCTCAAAATTCTCACCACTTTTGACAAAGACCTAGGTTTCTCAGAAAATCACATGAAAACCAATTAGCACACCACCGACCACTGACCGATACGCAGGGAATACACACATTAGTGAGTGTTTTAAAATGGGAACCCTGTAGCCACACCCAACTAAATAGGAGTTCTGGAAAAAGGAGTGGCTGACAAACTCCCCACCGAAAGGTCACTTTGCTTGGAATGTTTACCAGCATCCTCCACCTTGAACAGCCCAGAACAGACTGCCCCACACTGCCAACGTGTGCCGCGAGCTGGCTGCGTGGCTCACTGATTTAGGCACGGAACTCCACGTGCGGAGTGCATCATGGAGGAGGGCACTACCCGGCCCGTGTGGCTCAGTGATTGTCTACCGATGAAGCAGAAGGTCACGGTTCGATTCCCAGTCAGCACACCTGTCTGGGCTGCAGTCTCAATCCCTGGATCCCCAGTAAGGGGCGTGCAGGAGGCAGCCGTTCAATGATTCTCATCATTGATGTTCCTATCTATTTTTCCCTTGCCCTTCCTCTCAATAAAAACATTTTTTAAATCTAGTCTTAAAAATGTAAGGATTAGTAAGTTTTCTCAGGAAAAGCTAGCTGGCCTCATTCCTGACCATCCAAAGACAGCGACCACAATGACCTCACAGTGCCCGCCACACGCCGAGACTCAGTCCTGCAGACGCAGGCTCGGTCTCGCTATGCCAGTCCACACGTGGACTGGGAACCCACACTGAGACACTGAGGCCCGGGTCAGCGGGCAGGGAAGGCGGGCAATGTCCTTTCCAGGCGGCCCAGGGCTGCTCCTGCATCCGGGTGGGAGGTGAGAGGCGAGCATGTCACCTGGGGGGACTTCTGGCCACAACACGCCTGATGGACCCCACAGCCCGAGGCTCCTGTCAGGGTTAACACTGACCCAGGAGGGGGACGCTGTGCAGCACACGAGGCTGGGCCCCTCTGTAACGGCTGTCACTGTCACAGCGTGGGCTCTGGCCCGGGAGAGACCTCAGGGGCCGTGCAGCCAGGGAGGACGCGGCCGACCAGCCACCACGTGCCAGGATGTCAGGCTGTGCGGCAGCTCCGGACCTGAGTGTGAGGCACCAGACACCGTCAGGAATGGTCATTTGTGATAAGCGTCATCTGGCTACGCAGCACAATGTTCTTATTGTAAGAGATGCCTACGGGAGTCTCCAGAGGTAAAATGTCTGCTTTTACTTTAAAATAAACACAGAGTTTTTAAAAAGAGACGGGTGATTTACAGAAACAACTGCCAAACACAAACGAATGGAGACAGTTCACATTCCAAAGATGACCACCGTCAGAGAGCGTCCCTGACAGCTGTGCACACAGCCCCCAACGGCATGAAAGAGCGTCTTTTCATGGCTTTTCAGTGGAGAAGCCCAATGTCAGGGAAAATATCAGATTCTAAAAGCCCCCCTAACAGAATTCCAGAGACACCTCAGCTGGATGCACCTGTGCCCAGAACCACTGGAGGGGAGGGCGGACTTGGGGCTGTGTCCGGGCAGGGAGCACGGCCTGACACAGTCTCTGGGCTCCCCCACACTTCCCCGCCCTGGAGCCATCTCCACCGCACACCAACCAACAGCGTCTGTTCTGCACACACCGACAGGCAAGGAAGCAGAGGTCAAAGTTCAGATGTCTGGGGGAGAAGCTGGACGCTATGGGGTCATCATGTGGTTGACTGACAGGTCTCTGTGACTGACAGGTCTCTGTGGTTGACAAGTCTCTGTGGCTGATAGGTCTCTGTGGCTGACAGGTCTCTGTGGCTGACTGACAGGTCTCTGTGGCTGACTGACAGGTCTCTGTGGCTGACTGACAGGTCTCTGTGGCTGACAGGTCTCTGTGGCTGCCGGGAACAACACAAAGCTACTGTGAGAAGCAGTGCAAGGCTCAGCTTCTCTGGGTGTACCAGGTGTTCAGGTTAATAATGCAGATTTTGTAACCAAAGAAAACATGGTAATTTCAAGAGAAACATCAAAAGTGCTTTTTTCAAAGTAATGTCCAGCGCTAGCTACCCATTTCCCCATCTTCCAGGTAATTTTTGGATACCGTCCCAATAGAACTGTTCTTGTTTCGAAGCAAACCATTCAGAGACCCAATTTTCCACTTCTTCGTACGTTTGAAGTGCTGCTCAGACAGTGTGTGTGCCATTGATCGGAACAAGTGGTCATCTGAAGGAGCGGGGTCTGGTGAATACGGCGGGTGGGTTCTTACTCTCCAGGCAAGATCTTTTAACGTGTCTTCAACTGGTTTTGAAGTGTGTGATGGTGAGTCATCATGAAGCAAAATTACTTTTCGTGTCCTCTGGCACATTCTGGTCATTTCACAATCAAAGCATGGTTCCAATTGATTATTTGTTGTCAGTAGCAATCAGTATTAATGGTTTCAACTGGTTTTAGCTCATAATACACCACACCTTCCTGGTCCCACCAAATGCAGAGCATTGTCTTCTTTCTGAAGCAATTTGGCCTTGCAGTTGATGTTGATGGTTGACCTGGATCAACTGATGGTTTTGTGCATTTGGGATTCTCAAAATAAATCCATTTTCATCGCCAGTGGATGCAAAAAAAAGACTTTCTTTCATGCCGTTGAAGCAACATTTTACTGATAACTTTTCAGTTTTTCATTTGTCTTTCATTCAGTTGAGGTGGCACCCATTTTCTTTCCTTTAAAATCTTCCCCATTGCTTATAATTGATTGGAAATTGTGTGCTGAGCAACGTTTAATCTTTCTGCAAATTGTAAGCTTGACAGCATCTTCATCCAATAATGCTTGTCATTGTCGGTCTTCAACCTTTTTCGGTTGGTCTGGACGTTCTTTGTCTTTCACATCGAAATCATCACTTTTAAAGCACTTAAACCAGCATTCACAAGTATCTTGAGATGGAGCATGTTCACCATAAGCTTCCCAAAGTATAACTTTTTCTTCAAAATAATGAATTAAAACTTCCCACAAATGCTTTTTTTTTTTTTTTGGCACAAAATTCTACATTTTCTAAGCATATGAATAACTATGATGTTAACACCTCCAGCAAATTTGACATATGGAGTTTTGAAACTTGCTGTCAATACAACAAAATAACATACATATCAAATCGCATATATATCAACATATGTGTAACTCCATCTATTGAAAAAAATCCGCATCATTAAAGTCCTGGGAGCTCGGGGAAAACGGGGGGCCGAGGAGCAGCACACGGAGCTCTGATAGAACGGGGGCCGCGGAGCAGCACACGGAGCTCTGACAGGACGGGGGCCGCGGAGCATGCGTCCTCCGTGGGGAACCCGCAGCCTGTAGGAAGCGCAAAGTGGGCATTCCCCACTCGCTTGGGACGTGCAGTTTGAACACAGCACCTGGCGACGGGCCGGGAAATGCTAGGCTCAAACGTTAAAGAAAAGGAACAGGAGGGGAGACCCACCTGAGGCCCAGCTGCCGGCAGACCACCTCCGCGTCCGCATCGTCCCACTGGTCGTCGCAGACGGTGCCCCACTGGCCGGCATGGCGGACCTCCACGCGGCCCTCGTGCCCGCTGCTCCCGCCGGCGAGGCGCAGGACGGGGGAGGCAGAGCCTGTGCCTGGGAAACCAAAGGCAGTAATAAAATAATAATAATAATAATAGTAATAATAATAGTAATAGTGCAGACATATTTACCAAGGCACTTCCCTGAGGTGGCCACACTCACCAGTTCATGGTCACCTCACCAATTAAAACACTCCTCACGACACCCTCCCCACCGACACACGCCCACTGACACGCTCTACTGACCCTCTCCACCGACACGCACCCACTAACACGCTCCCCAATGACACACACCCACTGACACGCTCCCCAATGACACGCTCCCACTGACACGCTCTACTGACACTCTCCACCGACACGCTCCCACTGACACGCTGCCCAATGACACGCTCCCCACCGACACGCACCCACTGACACGCTCCCCAATGAAACGCACCCACTGACACGCTCCCCAGTGACACGCTACCAAATGACACACTCTACTGACGCTCTCCACCGACACGGTCCCCGTTGACACGGTCCCCGCTGACACGCTCCCCACTGACACGCTCTACTGACACTTTCCACCGACACACGCACCCACTGACACGCTCCCCACTGACACGCACCCACTGACACGCTCCCTGCTAACACACTCCCCAAAGTCACGCTACCAACTGACACGTGCAGGACTTCAGAGTCCGAGTGAGGAGCAGTGCAGTCCGGAGAGCACAGCACAGCGGGACGCCTCGGAATGCACGTGGGACGCAGCGGGCGCCTGCTGTTTTGGGGATGAAGGCTGTGATGTGTTAAAGGGTCAGAACAGGCAGGGTCCCTAATTGGAGGCTTAGTTGCACCTCCTGCCAAGTGCTAACCAGCGAGCCGCAGGGACGCTCTGGCTGGCCGGGCCCGGGCTCCCTGCACGGCGCCGGATGAGTGCGCGTCCAGCACCAGCCCGAGCTCTGAGCAGGCTCGGCCCGCGCGCTCGGCACATACTCAGGTCTCCCGCGTGCGCTTGTGCAGTTCACGGGACCTTATTTGCAAAAGAATAAAGACCGGCTTAATAAGCACAGCTGTTCTCAGCATCGTGTATTGCTTCCTATAATTAACTGAAGGCCCAATTATGGTAGGAAACAAATTTCTTAGGTTATGTGTATTTTTCCTTGAAAAAGCTTGGCAAATACAGAAAAATGATTTTTAAAATGTGCTTCTTAAATCATATTCTCTCGTGCTTCCCCTCCCCCTCACACTGTGGTAAGCTTAGAGATCACAGAAAACAAATATTCTCAGAGGAAATTTAAAATCACCTACAACCCAGGACCATTATGGCCCATCACCTTGCATTTTTAATGTGTTTTCTTTGAAAGCCTGTGGTTTTTCTGGTTGTATGAGTTATTGTGAAAATGGAGAAAAGCTCAAGGACAAAGCATCCCACATCCTCCCAACACACACACACCACCGGACAGAGGGCTCCCGGGAGCAGCTGGCAGACGAGTGAACCCTCGCGGTTTCCGGCGGCCGCTGCTCCCCGCCAGCGCCCCCTGTCCTCCACATGCGGCAGGGGGGTGGGGGGGGGCGGCAGTCCAGGGGACGAGGCCCAAAGGCACTCTCCCAGCGGGACATGCAGGACGGGCTGCCAGGGGCCTGAGGCGAACTCAGCGTCCCCTGCTTCCAGCTGTGTGCTCACAGTCTCGTCAGCTCACCCTAAGAGCACCTTCTCGTTCTCACTTCAAGTTCAACTGCCTATGTTTCACATGTGGCGATAAGTGACCTTAACTCTATCTGCGACCAGAGTTTAAACAAGTGGATTGCTTTCAGAGAGTAGGAAGAATTTTTTAAGAAGTAGAGAAACACCCTAAAAGCAAAAGGATAATTGTTTTTAAGGTTTTCTTACCTCACTCCCTGAAAATGTAACATTTCACGTGTGGGTGAGCACAGAATGCGAGCGGTGAGCTGGGAAAAGCAGCGCTCTGTGCAGCCCGTCCGCACGCTCCAGGCAGCAATGCCAACACAGGGAGGGGCAGGGAGGGAAGATACAAGACAGCGGGGTGGCACCCGCCCGCCTGCCAGGAGCGGGCTACGGCGCTGAGAGTGCACCACAGCCTCCCCTCACCGGGTCCCTGCAGTTCTGGGCGGGCGCCTTGCCCCTCCGCCTGACACCTGCACTCACACAGACCCGCTGCCTGGGCACCTGCACGCTGCTGTCTCCAGCACAACCAGACAGGGATTCTGTGACGGTGTGGACAGTGTGGCGGCCTGGGCTGTGATCGCCCATTAAAATACACCTTGGTCCCCAGAAAACCCATCAGCCTCTGTACAGCAGCTGCTCCCTCCTCTACTTCCTGCCCTCTGAGCACAGGCCGGCGTGGACTGAAACCATTCTGCCGGGCACCTTGTGCCCAGTACCTGGTACTTAACAAAATCAGTACCCAAGGGGGCAAGTCACCCTGTGAAACCCACGGGGAACACGGTACAGGATCACCTTTCACCTTTCACCTTTCACCCCTGGTGAGCACAGCTTGTGGGCGCTGCACTCACAGCTGGCCTCCAGCTGACTTCCTATGGCGAATCCATCATGGTTTCCCGCCACCAAAGGACGTGTTTCCTGCACAGCACACTCTGTTCCTGTCAGCCAGTCAGGCCAAACGGGAAGCATGCTGAGTGCGAGGCCGAACGGCATCCACAGGGAGACCCTCTCCCGTGAAGACGGACGGACCGAAGAGGGTGAGCCTGGCTCACGCCTGTCCTCACTCTGGGAAGCGGGGTGACAGAGACACAGTCGTACCCGGGGCAGGATGACAGCTCCACGGAAGGCAAACACGAGTGACACCTCTCGGGGGAAGCCGAGCACCAGGCGGCCGCCGCTCCGGAGGCCCCCCCCCCGGGGGGCGCCCCGGGAAGACCAGGTGCTCTCCTCACCGAGACCGGAACCCGGCCCCCGGACAGACAGTGGCGTGCTGGGCGACTCCCTTCCTTCAGGAAGTACAATGATTGGTGTTAGTCTGCTTGTTGCTTTACTGTCTCTATATCTACCTTTTGGTTCATCAATATGTACACAGATAATAATTGAATAAAAAAAATGGGGGAAAAATGATTGGTGTTAGGTTTATCGAAGGTGGGTGCACTTTCATCAAATCACCTGGATTTCAAAAAATGGAAGAAATCCATAGAGATGGATGTGAAGCTCGTGGGTTACACAAGTTTCAGGAAATCACAACCCGGTGCGTTACCCACACCATCTTCCCCGTCACTCCTGAGCCCCAGGATGCATGTGCCTCACAGCCATGGAGCTTTCAGGAGAGCAGGCAGACACGCCGATGTAGGGGGGCGGGCAGTGGGCGGAGCAGGTGGCGCACAGTGAGGCCCGGAGCCGCTGCCTGGCTCAGATGGCGCGGCTGGGCCGCCTGCTCTGCCTGCTGAGGAGGAAAAGGAGAGGTGGGACCTGAAAAGTCGTTCCCACGCCAGCACTTGAGCCCAGCATCTCAGAATGATTGTCACCGCTGTGTCTAAGCGACACCTATCAAGAGAGGCATTCACACTCAAAGCCTTCTACACAGGATGTGCCAGCATGCCTTTGAAACCAATTAATAAATCAATAACATGCAGGTAACCTCTGCGTTTTAACACTTCTAATGGACGTGCTTTTACAGATTGATACTACATTTAAAATAGATGAGGGTATCTGATTAACATGGTCTTCCACACAGCAGCTTCCACCCACAGGCAGTACATGTGTGGAGCACATCTGCATCATGGCTGTCCCGCCGGCAAGGAGTGTGAGCTCCGCTCGCCCTCCTGGGCGGGTTTACAGCGGGCACCGGGGCTGTGAGCACGGGCCTGCCCGTGTGTGCCCAGGTCGCCACACCGCTTCCAGGAGGAAGGCTGCATGTGTGCCCCCTCAGGGTCAGGCAGCCAGAGGCGGGGAGGAGGACGCGGCATCACGCACAGTGGTCGCCACGGTCTGAGGCGGAGGCAGCCTGGCCAGCCTCCAGCCCCTCGTCCCTGAGCTTCTCAGCGGCTGTGCAGGTGCCGAGAGCCGGCTGCGCTGAGCTGCACCTGCTGACGGCGGACACCTGCAGCCTCACCCGCCGCCCTTCAACCAGGGAGCACAGTGCGGGCAGCTCTGCAGTGCACCCGCATGGCAGCGACTCCCTCTCTCTCCCTCAGAACTCACCCAGCGGCCTGCACCCAACACTACATCCCAATACCACATCCCAACACACATCCCCACACACATCCCCACACCGCATCCCCACACCGCATCCCAACACCGCATCCCCACACCGCATCCCCACACCGCATCCCCACACCGCATCCCCACACCCACATTCCAACACCGCATCCCCACACCGCATCCCAACACACATCCTCACACTGCATCCCCACACGCATCCCCACACCGCATCCCAACACCCACATTCCAACACCGCATCCCAACACCCACATTCCAACACCGCATCCCAACACCGCATCCCCACACCGCATCCCCACACCGCATCCCAACACCGCATCCCAACACACACATTCCAACACCGCATCCCAACACCGCATCCCCACACCGCATCCCCACACCGCATCCCAACACCGCATCCCAACACCCACATTCCAACACCGCATCCCAACACCGCATCCCAGCACTGCATCCCCACACGCATCCCCACACCGCATCCCAACACCCACATTCCAACACCGCATCCCCACACCGCATCCCAACACCGCATCCCAACACCCACATTCCAACACCGCATCCCCACACCGCATCCCAACACCGCATCCCAACACCCACATTCCAACACCGCATCCCCACACCGCATCCCAACACCGCATCCCAACACCGCATCCCAAAACCGCATCCCCACACCGCATCCCCACACCGCATCCCCACACCGCATCCCAACACTGCATCCCAACACCGCATCCCAACACCGCATCCCAGCACTGCATCCCAACACCGCATCCCAACACCGCATCCCAACACTGCATCCCAACACCGCATCCCAACACCGCATCCCCACACCGCATCCCAACACCGCATCCCCACACCGCATCCCAACACCGCATCCCAACACACACATT